TTTTATTTATTTTTATTATGATTTGGGTGAAAATTTACAGTGTAAATTCACTTTCCGTGCAACAGTTCATATACACTTTGTCTCATGGCTGATTACAATTTTCCCCCACTGCAACAGCTCCCCTCCCATTTCCTCCTGATAGTTACCTCCTCCCTGTGTCCATCCCTCCATGCACTCCTGCCCCCTGAACGGTCTCCCTGTGCCTAAACAGCCCTTCTTTCTCCCATGATTGATCTCTTCAAGTAGTGTATCTACCTCAGGTAAACATTCAACTCATATGCCTGTCTGTTTGGCTGGAAGCCACAGGTGTGGGTTAAATTCCAGACCTGAAGGGGAGCTAGGGGCCATAGTCTCAGTGGTTCTACCAGGCTCTGTGAAAACCTGGTCCCTTTTTTTTTTCCCAAATGATTTTGAGTTTTGTTCCACATTGTTCTCCCTCTCTATCCAGGATCTCCTACATAGATCCCCCACCAAGTGAAGTAGCCAGGTACCATCTAGCTCTTCTGGTTTCATAGTCATATAGGTTGCGGATGGCATGGTGTACCAATCACTACGATTAATTGTTTCCATGAATCTTTGTTTTTCTTCATTCTTCTTTGCTCTGGACAAGGAGAGACCCATCGTTGCATTTAGATGGCTGCTTGCAAGCTTTTAAGATCCCAGTTGCTACTCAGCAAATTAGGAGGTGGAACAATGTTTTGTATAATATATTATGCCAATTGAGCTTGATGTTCCCTGTGACTATGGTCCTGAGCCCACCAGTTCAACTACTCGGTCACTCTGGGTAGCTGGCTGTGACCAAGAAGTGACTACAACCTTGACCCTTGTCAGTTCCACTATACACTGGGGAATTCTTACAGTTTATCTAAAATATTTTCTTATGTAAAATTCAGACTTCTCATAAACAGTATAATAAATATTAGGAAATGAATGGATTTTAAAATATTTAGCTCTTTCGTTCTAAACTAACTTAATTAAGTCATCCCCTGGTTTTACTTACCCACAAGGCCTATATGTGAATACAATGTAACTCTCTTCATCACTTCTTTCAATGAAAGTCACACACGTGTGCTTTTCCCAGTGCCTCATGGCCTGCTTGAACATGGCTCGCTGGCTGCCTGGAAAAATTGTATGATGTTAAAAAAAATAATGTCTACCTCAGGGAGGAGTGCATGATGCTGCCTTGTCTTTTCCAAGTCTGGCTGGGCAGTTCAGAATGCCACCACTATTATCAACCAAAGAATGCCAGCCCAATCCCTCACAGACAGCTAGACACTGTAGGAGAGAGATCCGACAGATCCACTGCCTGAGGACCATAGTATTGGGACACCAGACTCAATTAGCACAATAAAATACACAACTATTTTGTTCTACAGCCTACATTGGTGAGTAGTGACTGGAGTCTTAAATGCTTTCAAGTGGCTGTCTAAGAAGCAGCTGATGATCTCCTATCATCAGAACCAAACAAGAGTGCAAAAAAAAAAAAAAAAACCAAGAATATTTGGAAGCAATCAGCCCTAGGACATGATGGACCTCGAGACCAGAAGAACTAGATGGTGCCAAGCTGCCAATGCCAACCACTAGGAAAAGGATCAAAACTGGAGATCCTAGATAGAGTGGGAGAAAAACCATGGAACAAAATCCAAAAACACAATAATGACCAGAATTACTGTTTGGATGGAGTCTGGTGGGACCCCCAATACTATAGCCCTGGGACACACTTCAGGCCTGGAATAAAACTCACTCCCAAGGCTGGCTCTCAGCCCAATAGTAAATAAAACAAACACGCAAACTACTCAACCTAGAGTGACACACCCACATACTCTATGGAGACGCATCCCTTGGAACAATCGACCAACCACAGGGCACAATAGGGGCAACATTCACACAGAGGAAGTGCAGTACACATAGAAGTGCATAACTATGAGAGGCATGGTGGAGTGGTTCCTGGACAGGGAGGGGAAGAGAATGGGTTAGGTTTGTGGATGTGGGGATGTTAATTGGGGAGTAAAACAAAATGTACACGAAATGTTGAATGTAAAACAAACTCTGTTCTGTAAACTTGCGTTTAAAGCACAATAAAAAATAATATAAATAAGTTAAATAAAAGAATGCCAGCTCATAGCACAACAAATGAGTCATGGTTAAGAATGGACACTCACTTTATAATCAGAAGTTTATTACTCACTTTCTAAAAGCATTATGTGTGTGCAAGGTACTATACACAGCATCTACATTCTTTCTATTAGTTGAACAGATCAGCTCCCAGATTTAATGGGCATATTTGAAACACAGTTTAAAAGCCAGAAAAGTCAGTACTTCAGATACATAGAACAAAAACTAAAGATGTTTTTCAACCTCAAAGATATTCAGAATTGATCATCTAAGTTGTGTGGTATTTTTCAATTTTGATTTAATAATATGTTTTATATATTCATATTCTATAAAAATATACAATACTCTGTATGAAAGTCATTATTTCTTTAACAAAATAGACACCCTGGGAATAGCTTACCAGTGAAGTTGCCTCCAATAACATAAGGAATAACGCCTCCAGGCCATATTCTTTCAGTTCTTGATGTAGCAGCTCTGGGAACTCGATTTTTCTCATTTTGTCCTGAGAATTTTAGAGGTACTTTTCCCTTAACTGTGTTGTTTTGCTCCAAGCCTGCAGTGACATTTAAAATATTCTGTGAAACAGAAGTCCCTGGTCGGGGAATCATTTACCTCTTAAAGGACAAAAGTTGAAATGTCTTATTTACATATTTGTCCAGATAAGCCTACAGTCAGAATACATTAAGGAAAAGCTTCACTTATATTACATGCTTGAAAAAGAATTAAAATATTTAAGTGTTTCATGTCAAGATATTTATTCCTAATTCTCTATGAGCAAATTTCAATGAATTTCCATAAAACAGCTTATAGTAGATAGACATCAGGCATACTTGCAGGCTACAGGAAAATTATTTCATGTATTCTAATTTTCTATAGTTTATCTGCATCACTATCAGTTCACCATCAGATGGCAAAATAGATTTTGTTTAATAATAATAATAATGAAAGTTGCTGTCATGTTGATTCCAACTCATGGCAACTCCATGTAAAGTCATGTGATATTCAAAACTTTTCTCACTCCAGCTGAGAACTGATATTCTGTAGTACATTCTCAATTTATGCATTTTATATTCTATAAATATTCAAAAAAAATTATGCATTTTATATTCTATACATTTAAAAAAAAAAAAAAGATAGATACAGTCTTTGTGACAATGGGTCATCTCCATTCTAATTTCTTCAATGGTATACAGTATGATTGTCAGAATACCAAAAACCAAAATCAAACTCACTGCTGTTGAGTCAGATTGGACTCATAGTAACCCCTCCTTGGGTTTTCGAGGTGGTATCACTATGGAAGTAGAATGCCTGATCTTCCTTCTGAGGAGTGGCTGGAAGGTTTGGACCACCAGCCTTCTGGTTAGCAGTCAAAGGCCTTAGGCAGTACACCAATAGGATACAGTTAAATATGCCAACATAAAATGCAGTCTATTCTTGAAAATGTTTCAGGTCTCTAATCATTTCTTTTTCTTGGTGGCTTTATACAATATTTTTATTATTGTTTTGTTTTTCCCAGACTTTCATTAATATTCTATCTTATTCATGTATCACCATTGATACAGATATCCTACTACTAGTATATACTAATATATATTTGATCTTCAGGTGGAGTAAATGGTTAAACTCTTGACTACTAGTCAAAAGGTTGGCAGTTCAAACATACCCAGAGGCACCTTGGAAGACAGGCTAGCAATCTGCTTTTGAAAGGTCACAGCTTTGAAAACCCTGTGGAGCAGCTCTACTCTACGTACATGGAGTCATAATTAATTTGACAGCAACTAACAATAGCATAAACTTTATATATACAGCAAATTTTAAGTGTATGTCCCCTATGTCTATGTTCCCAGTGTACCCATCTTTTTAATATCCAAGAGCAAAGTGTCTTTGTTTGGGAAATGTATTGCTTATGAAAAGTATAACATACCTTCAACTGTTGAATTAATAATCTACCAATTCAAGAGATACTAGAATCTGAGCTTTGAACAGAAGACTTTAAAATATACAACTCTAAAATCTACAATTAGTGGTTAATGAGCTCACTACTACAAAAGATATCTAATTATAAGCCCAGGAAGCAACTGCTCAGAATGTTTTTCCTTCATATACTTTGAGTAGTCATATATGTTTTCAACTATTTCTTTTTTACAATTTAATAAATGAGTGTGTCAACTTTTATTTTAGTAGGTTTTATTGAAGAACTAATAACCATGACAATTTCTCATTTGATTAATGTTGAGGTACCTCCATGCTTAATGCAAATAATTTAGTGAGATAACAAATTAACTAGAACTAAATATAAAAAATAAAATAGATATTTGCTCTGGTGGCATAGTGCCTAAGGCATTTGACTGCTAACCAGAAGGCTGGTGGTTCAAACCTACCAGCCACTCCTCAGAAGGAAGACTGGGCAACCTACTTCCATAGAGATACCACCTCGGAAACCCAAGGAGGAGTCTCTATGAGTTGGAATCGACTCAATGGCAGTGAGTTTGGTTTTGTTTGGGAATATGTTTTTAACTAGCAGATGTTTAAAATAAGTTAGAAGAACATTTCAATATTCCCAAATAAGTTCTATAAAATCTTATGTGAAATAAGAGATTTCACCCTGTAGAGCAAATATATCCTTTACATACTTTCTATCATAATGGCACACTGATTTTAATAAACTGAACTTCTATGAGTATAATATTTACTGTACATCAAGTCAAGCATCTGCAACTTTAAACATTGATATACCAGAGCCAATTCTTCTTATCCTGTCTATAAGTTGGTAGAGGGCCCCTCGTTTCTTTGACATACCATGGTCACCAAGTCCACCTTAAAGAATGAAATTAAAAAAAATAAATAAATAAGTTAAATTCCCTACACATCAGCTCTCTGGTAAATAAATTATGATCTAAGAAGAAGATGAAAAGTTTTCACACTTTGAACTATTTCCATCTAGTACTTTATCCCATTTGTATTTATTACTAAAATCTAATTATCTTGATTGGAGCTAACAAAAAACAAAAACAGTAATAAACTATTGCCATTAAGCCTCTTAAAGGAAAAATCAAATAAGTCCTTATAAGGCACATAAGATAGAGTGCTTATTCATTGACTAATAATCTGCTTAATTATTTGTATTACAGGGTCACATTTTTGTTGTTCCCCTAAGAAAAAATTTTTGAAATTTTTTTGTTAAACATTTTAGAAAGATGAGGTAATACTTAAATGCCTTCATTCCAAAGCAGTTACAAGACATACTTTAAAAACATAGCATCTATGTATATTTTAAAGTATGGCTTATAATGACCATTATGTGACAATTATATTTTCTATTAGATATGTCTAAAGTGTATATAAACAGATTTATAAGAAGGCATTTTTCTCATCCTTTATGAGAAAAAATAAATGTATTTTAAATTAAAATAATTACAATGATAAGAGCAATTACAGAATTGAAAAAAGGATTTTAAAACCATCAAAGGCAATAATGTTTTTAATAATACTATGTTTAGAAATTTTGAATATTTCTCATGGCAATTGAAATAAAAATTTGTGTAAGTAGCTCACAGAAATGGAACAAAACACAACTTCATGAAATAAGTGATAGTTATCTCCCACATGTTATTAAAACATAAAAAATATACAAATTAAATAAATATTTATTGTGAAGGCTATACAGTTTGAAATAAAGAAATGAGAAATATAGCCAAGTCAGCACAAACAAGGTAACAAACAAGTGGAAAGAGAAAGTAGGAAAAATTAATAAATAGGATATTTGTACACTTTTTGAAATTCAACTAATAAAAGTTACTTAAACTTTCAAATGTGTGTATTTGATATTTCACACATATATTTAGAATAAATGGTTTTATGATTGGCTGAATAATCAATATTATTCTGTATCTCTAACAGTTTTTTTGTATAGTTATTACTATTTCAAAATTTATGAAATGACAAAATAAATATATAAAACTTTTTAAATCACAGACAATGAATGTCTCCAAAATAACTGGGTAGAGATAGGTAAAGAAATGACTTAGATAAATCTAAAAGCTAATAAATAATAAAAATTGAAAAGGCAGTTTATGATAAATCTAGGATTTTGCTGAGCTGTATCTGTACTGTCATTCAGAATATACTACTTTCATAGCAGTGTTAAATGTAAGAAAGCAATTGCAGTTTCAGCTAATGAACACATTCTACATGAATACACTGTGTGTAATTACAGTGTAAAGCAAGTTTTTTTCCCCCATATAGGTGTATGTTTCAGGAAAGACATTATATATGACAAAAGACAAAGCATAATATTGTTTTACACAGTATGTGTCATTATCTTAAGTTTCTAGGTTTTATTTTTTTACATACATTTTAATTTGAATAATTTTCATAGATAATACTATATAGGTTATACAGGAAAATGCCCTTAGAAAGTTTTAGAAAGTTCATGGTAATCTACTTTAAGTTAAACTGGTATGTTGTCCAAAATTAATTTTAAAATATTCTCTTTTAAACACACATTTATGCATGTATGCATACACACACATATACCCACACAGAGGAAATATGCTAACTATTAACCACTGTTAAATCTAAGAGATGGGAATACTACTGCCTTGGTATTCTGAGCACTATCCTTTCAAGGTGTCTATATGTTTGAAATTTGTCAAAATACAGAGTTGGGAAAAAAATAAATTGAGCAAAGTGAGGAATTAATTAACAATAAAAACTGTCTTAAGTCTGTAATATATTTGTCTGCTGGGTACTATAAATTAATTATAAAATAACAATAGCACTGGGGGACAGGAATGCAGTGAGTTCAAAAACATGACATCAAATATATTTCTTTAGCTATTACTACAAAAAGTAATGTTAAATTTGTAATTTTTCTCCAAAATAAAGTAAAATAAAAATCTTACCAATGTAATATAAAATATTTTAAAATTGTAATTAAAATATTTAAAATGAAAACCCAGTGATCTCTTAAATATTATAAGCCTCACAGGTATGATTTAATCATGTTCAAGACAGCTAAAATTAAAATTATCTTCTGGACTTTCCATAAAAATTAGTAGATTGATAGAGATACATTCTTTCAAAAAATTAAGTTTGCATATAATTGTTCTAACAATAATTTAGATTTTGCAATGCAGTATCTGAATGGGGGCAACTGCATACAATGCTCAAGACCATAAAATCTGAGCTTTCTCAGAACTGATTCTAGTCTTGACTCAGCCACTTTCTGGGCAAGCTACTTAACCTTCTAAACCTAGGCCTCCTTACATAAAAGTCATAAGAATATTGGTACCTACCCTATGGAATTGTTAGGAGAATTCAAAGACTTAATATCTACAAAGGATTTAAACAGTCTGATGCATAATAAGCACTATAATATGCTTATTAAATAAATTAAACAAATGAAAACTATAAACAAAGACTAGCTTTCTAAATATGCCATTAGTGTCCAAGAAATCAAGGTTGATCAGAGAGACATTGAAAATGATCCAAAGAATATTTATAGCATTTTGAAAGTGTATTTACTCCGCAGTGAACAAATATTTCACCAAATAATCAAACATACCTGAGGTATGCCCAAGTTTTCCAAAGGGATTCTGTGTGAGGTCAATTGTCCTGTCAATTTGAAAGATACTTAATTCTTCATCATCTAAGGCAATATCGCCCCAAAACACAGCTAAAAAAGAAAAGTTTAATTAAAATGCAAAATATTTAAAAGAGAAAATTATGCAAACATCACTAATTAGAAAAACATTGCAAAAAATGGAAATGCGGTTCATATAGAGATAGATAGTTCAGATTACACTAATTATAAATGAATTTATTGGGTGGCATAGTGCATAAGGCATTTATTTGCCTGCTAACCAGTAGGCTGGCTGTTCAAATCCAGCCACTCCTTGGAAGGAAGATTGAACGATCTACTTCTGTAGTGGTACCGCCTCGGAAACCCAAGGAGGGGTCACTATGAGTCGGATCCCACTCCATGGCAGTGAGTTTGCTTTGTTTGGTTACAGTATAAAGATCAGCCATCTATCAGTGTCATGACTCCTTCTTCTTTTTTTTTTCCCCCTTTGAGATTTGGGAGGAGGGGAAAAGTAATTCTCTTCACTGCAACATCTTTCTCCCTCAGAGCAGCTGATGGGTTGAAACCACCAAACTTTTAGTTAGCAGCTCAGTGCTTTAACCACTGTGCCACCAAGACTCCTTTCACTTACAGGAGGTTGTAAGGAAGTGCAATCACAACCTAATCTGCAGATTAATAAAAATCTGGTGGACATACCTGCTTGCTTGTGACCAGCAAAAGATACTTACCAACAGTGTTAACAACTAACCCCTTTGTTATGATAATTTTTTAAAATTAAGACAACCTAATCTTGTACTGTGGAACTCTGGTAGCATAGTGCCTAAGGCACTTGACTGCTAACCAGAAGGCTGGCAGTTCAAACCCACCAGCCACTCCTTGGAAGGAAGGTTGGGCAATCTACTTCTGTAGTGATACCGCCTCGGAAACCCAAGTTGTAGGCATTGCCCTTACAGGACTCTCAGCTTATCTCTTCCTTTCCTAGTATTAGAAATAGAGACATTGAAAGAGTGTTTCTCAAACTTCAATATCTATAGGAATGACAGTGAACCTGGTTAAGATGCAGGCTTGATTCAGTGGATCTGGAGAAGGGTCTCAGATCCTACATATTTGAGTAGCTTCCAACTACTACAAAAAATTTTGCAAGTGTATCCTCTTAGTATCATTTTTTTTTTCCTGCAAGAAAAAGTTTCACTCCATTCAGAATGACTTGGTTCACTTTAAAATTGAAGCATTAAACTTCACAAAGCTGAGTTTGTCAGTACTACTACATGTTGCATAATAAAAATAACAAGTAAAATGAAACCAAATGTGCTTTAGACTTTTATTTTCCTGTAATGATTTTTGACATGCAGTAGTAATCCTGCCTTGATGAAATATATCCAATAGAGATCAGCAGTCCAAGGATATATCACTTCACAGAAGCAAAAACGTTACCTCTGGGGAGAGAAAAACAGCAGGAGGCCGATGGGATTAAAAAGGAGACAAAACAGCTCTAGAGTATATAAAAACCAAAACCAAACTCACTGCCTTCAAGTACATTCGAGTCATAGCAATGCCTCTTTGGGTTCCCAACGCAGTATCTCTATGGAAGAAGATTGCCCAATCTTCCTTCCGAGGAGCAGCTGGTGGGTTTGAACTTCCAGCCTTCAGGTTAGCAGTCATACCTTAGGCACTATGCCACCAGAGCTCCTTCAGAGTATATAGGCTCCTTTTATTTATCATTATTTTTCTGAGCTAATAGCTTCATAAAAGCTTTCCAGTTCTCAATATGCCATGACTTGCTTGAGGAGAAATTCAAATTTTTCTCTGCTGTTGTTAGGTGCCATCGACTCATCTCCGACTCATAGTGACCCTATGCACAGCAGAACGAAACACCACTTGGTTTTGAGCCAGCTCCACGATTCCTGCTATACTTGAGCCCATCACTTCCACCACCGTGTCAATCCACATCATTGAGGGCCTTCCCCTTTTTCATCGACTTGCCACCTTACCAAGCACGACATCCTTCTCCAGGGAATGGTCTCTTCTGACAACATGACCAAAGTAGGTGAGATGAAGAATGGCCATTCTTGCTTCCAAGGAGCATTCCGGCTGCACTTTCTCCAGGACAAATTTGTCAGTTCTTTTAGCAGTCCATGGTACTTTCAGCATTCTTCCCCAGCACACATCTCAAAAGCATCAATTCTTATTCAGTGTTCTTTATTCATTGTCCAGCTCCCATATGCATAATAGGCAATTGAAAATATCATGGCTTGTGTCAGGTACTCCTTAATCCTCAAGGAGACATCATTGCTCCTCAGCACTTGAAATAGGTCCTTTGCAGCTGGCATGGCCTGTAATATAAGTCACCTGATGTCCTGACTGCTGCTTCCATTGGTGTTGGTTGGAGAACCAAGCAATGTGAGGTCTTTGACTACTTCAATCATTTCTCCATTCATCGTGATGTTGCTTATTGGTCCAGTTCTGAGGATTTTCGTTTCTTTATATTGAGATGGGTTTGAACCACCAGCCTTCTGGTTACCAGTCAAATGCCTTAGGCACTATCCCTGAGCTCCTTATGTATACATAAATATATAACTTTACAATTGAAAGGTAAATTGTATAATTTTTTATCGCATTAGTGTATATTATTGAGAGGGCTGTAGGTGCTACTAACCAAAAAGTTGGTGGTTCAAACCCTTCTGCTGTTCCATTGGAGAAAGATGATGCTGTCTGTTTCCATGAAGATTTACAGCCTTAGAAACCCTATGGGACAGTTCTACTCTGTCCTATAGGGTCACTATAAGTCAGAATCAACTCAATGGCAGACAGCAAGTTTTGTTTTGTTTAGCGTATATTATTAAATGTAGTTATTGGAAATACGTCCTTTTTTCTGTGAAAACCCACATTGCCACACTGTATAATCAGGATACACATAACTGAGCTAATGGATTAGTTATCCTGAGATTTATAGGATTTTTAGAGATAGCTCCAAGATTCAACAACAGCCAAGAGTGCTTGCTTATTACACTTTTTCCATATTCAGTTTAAACTTTCTGCTTTTATTGGTATTTAATTTAAGGAAGGAGAATGATGTCATGTGAAGGTTTGACAAGTCTATTTTGGCTGTTTTAGCCTACAATGAAGGCATAAATGAAAATTTCCTCAGACAAGGGCAAGAAAGAAGGCTCAAAAGTCAACTATTTTTACATGATTGACAACTCCTAAGCAAACTCCCAAGGAAAAGTAAGAATTGGCAAAAGTTCCAGTACATACATTTGGATACATGTTATACCACATAAGAAAAGGAAATAATTTTCTGGTTACATTTCATATGCACAGAATAAGTTTTTCCCAAAAATTGTCACACATTCAAGTTAATCTAAGTTTCAAGTTTAGGAAATGCAAGGGAAATAATAACCTAAATAAAAGTAAAATAATATAAAAATAGATGTTATATAGATTCTCAGATATAATCTTCAAAAATTAAGGATAAAAATATTTATACAGTAAATTTATTTTTTAATTTCTAATAATAGAAAGACAAATCATTGTAGTCCATTTATCTTAATGGTTTTTCATAAGAAAGTATCCTACATAATGTTTTACTTAAAATACTTAATGTTGTTGTTGTTATGTGCCGTCGAGTCGGACCTGACTCATAGTGACTCCTCCTTGGGTTTCCAAGGCGGTATCACCAGGGAAGTAGATTGCCCAACCTTCCTTTTGAGGAGTGGCTGGTGGGTTTGAACCACCAGCCTTCTGGTTAGCAGTCAAGTGCCTTATGCACTATGCTACCAGAGCTCCCTGAAATAGGTTTTATTTTTTTCTAAATCTGTATTTCTACATCAACCATATACTATCATATAAAGTCAACAAAACAATACAATCTATAATAGAAAAATGCACTTGTAGATGTACAAAGCATATATGTATTTGTAGTGAAGTACTAACAATGAGTTAAGTAAAATTTTTAATTCATCCTTTCCTCATAAACTTGATTGAAATACATATCTAGGTTACATGATTCTTAACCTGTCCATTCTAAAACAAGATGTCTTGCTCTACCAAGGAGAGATCTAGAGCGGGATGCATGTGATATTTAAAGAAAAAAAAAAAAAAAGTCTATACACTGATTGGATCATTGACTATGGAAAAAGAAATAAACAAACCTGTCTAACTATACTCCAAATTTAGAAGTCCTTTCAAAAAAACACAGAATTGGTGCTAGAATTAAACACTGTTGTTCAATTATTTACTGAATGAGAAAACAAAGTACAATCTCAGTACAAAATCAAATATGCAATCTGAAATGCAAAGCAAACAAACAAATATATTTGTTATGTACATTATGCTAAAACAAAGAATTTTCCTCCCAAATATGAAGATACATGATAATACTATAATTTTTTCATTATATTAATGACAGTTTCAAGATTAATCTAGATTGATCAATAGAAACTTCTCTTTTTAAAAATCTTTCTCCTGTTTTAATATAATTTTACATTATGGATATGATAAAATGGTAAATTTTCAAGTAAACAAATCTTTCTTTTTAAGTATGAAACATGAAATGTTTCCCATAACAAAAGGTCCATTAAGATACCAAATCAATCTGCATTTATAGCCCACAATGCCTGTGAATAGGATTTCTCAGGACATTTTTAAAATACCACCCATACCATAAATATTCATTCTGAACTCTTTGTCTGAAAGGGAAAACATTGACAGAAAAGTAATTTGATCAAGAAATGTGAAAATAAATATTTAACTATATTTTAGTATGGCCTACTCATGAGCTTTAAAAAATGAATTATTCTGTATATGCACTGTAAAAAACTGCCATTCTTACACTGCTCAAATAATGAATTACAATAAACCACTACCAAGATTGATTTATGTGTACTTCTATCTTCATATATCTTGTAACTACAGAGCAAACACTTGCTTTTTCTTCCCTTAGGCTTGTAATTGTTTACATTTGTGGCCAGTGTAGAAGTAAGCCTTGGTACTTCTCTCTTAATTAAGTTTATTTTCTAAATATTGACACTCACTGCTGGAGAAAAACCTTGTTCTCTTCCTGGAAGGATAAATGTTCATGCAATCATAGTATT